TTTAAACATTTTTTTAAATAGAGACTGGGTATTGCTATGTTGCCCAGGCTGGTCTTGAACTCCTAACCTCAAGCAATTCTCCTGCACAGGACTCCCAAAGTGTTGGGATTACAGGCGTGAGCCAATGCACCCAGCTAGCATATATTTTTAGGTGATAGGAATATGAGTGTGCTTTTCTATCTCTTTCAATTTTTCAAATTATATTCAATGAGCCTGCATGCTTTTTACAAAATGGAGGAAGAGATTATTCCCCCTCAGGGGAAAAACAACAACAACAACAAAAACAAAGACCCACAGCCCTGGCCCCAGCATTCCTGTGAGGCAAAATCATTATTCCCTCTATTCCCCAAATCTGTCTTCCTCTCTGTCGTGCTCTGTCGCACCCTCTCACTCTGTAGGGCTTTTTGAGGGACTTTGGAGAGGCAGCAGAATAGAGAATCAGCCACATAACACACCCAGACCAGACATTAAAATCGCTGCCAAGGAATTCAGCAACAGCCAATTATAAAGCCCCTGGCCTTCATTTGTGTAGGGGAAGGGGTGGGCTGAGGCCGAGCTGAAAAGTGGAACCTGAAACACTGAGTGTGTGACTCATCCCTCTTCTTCTAAGGAAGAATCCCTTTAGGCCACGTCCACCCAGAACCAGCTCCCAGCTAAACCCTGTTCCCCACCCCCACGCCCCACTCCAACCTGGAGGCCTCTGACTTTTAGAACAATATCGTCAGGTGGCTCCTCATGTTAGTGACCCCCTCACCTCACCCTGTAGAGGCCCCGATAAACACAGGGGTCTCCACAACTGAGGTCTTTATAAGCACAGCCACGGTCTGGCTCCTTAGGGACAAGAGGGCCCCCATGGAGATCACAGAGTCCAATTCCGTGCCTTGTGAGCTCCCCTGGGAGTCAGGGTCTGGCTGGCTGACCTTTACAGTGACGTCACTGCCCAGAGACCACACCAGGCCATGCCAAAGCCAAATGTACAACTGTCATAGTGCCAGGCCCTCATAGGATTTAGGTTGCAAGGGCAGACCATTTGTCCTAAGACAGCTGTACTGCCGCTCGAGTGGATAGGAAAAACTGGAATTTCCAGGTAGATGTAGGTTCAAGCAGAATTCCAGTCTCTGCTTCCTGGCAGAAATAGGCAGGAAACAAAGAGTAGGGAACAAGGCCCGGGAGGTACTGGATAAGTGGGCAGTAGCAAAATCAGCAGGTTTGACTATAGAATAACTAGGCCTCTGACACACACACACACACACACACACACACACACACACACACACACACACGCTGTAGCCCAGCTGAGCTCAAAGTTTTGAGCCTGGTGACCCTGTTTCCAAAGTCTGGATGGTCCTCAGGGTGGAATCTGTGGAAGGGCTCTCAGACTGCCTTGGCATTAACTGCCCCATCACTCCCAACTTATAAATTAGCCTTGTCCCAGCCTGGAAATCCCTACCCTGCTGCTACCCAAACACCATAATCCCCAATGATGCCTCATTATAATCATTATAAAGCAGCAAGTTAAAAGATTACCCAGCAGAGCTAAGGCATGGCTTCAGAAATTAGAGGAAAAATTTCACACGGTCAAAAGAAACCCGAACTGGAGAGCTTTCATGCAACTCTGAGTTAAAGGAAAGAATGGAGGGAGGGATGGGAGTGATAGAGAGAGGGAAAGGGATAAACACACACACTTTGGTTTTCTTTTTCCTTTTTTTTCACTTTGGTTTTCTTAGATGACATCAGCACTGTTTATGCCTCTTCTGCCTAAATAGCTAGTTCCTACAGAGTAGGCACCTGTCGTCTTTTATGTAGTTCTAGTGCCCAACATAGTACAGGTACATTGTTAGAACTGAATGAATAAAGTTACCAGTCACCTTAGCCATCAAGGACATCATACATACAAGACCTTCTGGTGACCCACAGACACACCTTGCAGGAATCTTCTAAAACTCTAGGCCACATCAAGTCACCCCTGAACGTCTGCACAAGTTGTCTACTGAGTAATAGCCTCAAGGAAAAACACTGGATGGTCCCATCCCGGGATGCTGTGGTTCTAAGAGGCTGCAGTTCTAAGAAGCTGCAATTTGAGTGCTAAGCACAGTGGCTCATGCCTGTAATCCCAGCACTTTGGGAGGCCGAAGTAGGAGGCCAAGGTGGCTAGAGTCCAGGAATTCAAGACCAGCCTGGGTAACATAGCAAGGCCTCATCTCCACAAAAAAAAGGCTGTGGTAGCCATGATTGTGTCACTGCACTCCAGCCTGAGAAACAGAGAGAGACCCTGACTCAAAAAAAACCCCTGCAATTTAAGTCAAATCCCACATTTGGCTCTTGTTCCCTATGCTCCAAGGGGCTTTCACTTGGTTCATTGAAGGCCCTATTGCAGAAGGAAAGGGCTCTTTTGCACTTCTCAGAGTCTAGGATGAATTACAACAGGCACCCTTTTACTACCTTTGGGCTGTATGGAAAAAAGCAACCCAAGTTTCACCATGAAAGTGAGCCAGATAGTCATGGTGGGTATTTTTCAATTTCAGATTGTTAGACAAGGAATGTCTGTGTGTACATCAATAATTTTCCCCAGGGGAAAAAAAAAGAGAAAACAGGACAACAATGGTTTAAAGAACTAGTTACTTAAGCCTAAAGCTTCAAGATCTGGACATAGGTGAGAATCCCTGTGCCCAAGCCGGAAGGTGATGGGCATTGAAGACTCACTCACAAAGGGATGAGAAAGAGTCCTTTCCCAAGCCTCAAAGTACATTCTGTCCTAGGCGGCCTGCTTGTGTCCACGTGTGCATATGGGGGAGGGGAGACAAGCATGGAGAGAAACACCTGAGAGCCAATAGCGCAGCAGAGACCAGCAAGTGCTAGGGCACACTTGCTCAGCCCCTGCTCAGTCACAGCCCCCAGAAAAAAGAGGGAAATGGGCTGACGGGCAAGTACTCACCAGAGGCCCCAGCTACCTGTAGTTGCTGTCTGCTGGCCCAAGAAACCAATTCTAGATCAGAGTCTTCCCTTTTGAACAAATGAAGAGGAGCTCCTCAAAGCACAGCTCGGCAAGAGGGGTCTCTGAGGCTTAAGCAGTCCAGCATGCACTCCCCTGCCCCCTTGAGGGGACAGAACCAACCGTAACAGGCCACACCTGAGCTCCCAGGCCAGCCCTGCCTCCCTTAACTAGTTCAGCGAGATGCACTGCTTACAATCCCCCAACCCATCCCCTTCCAGACCGGCAGTATCTAGGCAGGTCAAGTCACACGGAACTGCCGTCAAACCTAAGCAGAGATAAACATTCCAGGAAAAGAAACATGGCTGCTGTTCCCCCCATCTTAGACAAATACCCAGATGGCCAGAAAAGGAAGCCTCACTCCCAGGATCAATGGAGTGAATGTTGTAGGGGCCCCTGAGGACCCGAGGCAGCGTTAGGAACCCTGTCTGCCTCAAGTACCTGGGAGAACAAAGTTGCATGAATCCTCAGGAAAGCTTCCCCCCACCACCCAGGCCTCACACCAGCCCATGGGAGGGTGCCTGGGGCTGGGGCTATAGTGATGGCTCCAAACACTGCAACCTGCCCCAGGTCACACAGATAGCATAGACAGAGGCAGATTTCTAACCCAAGTCTATCTGAAATGCATCCAAGGTTCTGGCAGATCCAACAGTGAACCATCGCAGTCCAGGCTGCTGCCTTACCTCCTCCAGGGATAAACTTGCCTGCTGCCATCTCTCATGCTGGTAACTTACACTTATCAGCTGGGAGGGATCGTAGCATCTGGCCCAGACCACTGGACACCAGAAAGTAGAGCTATGCCGGGAAAGGAACTGCAAGTAGTGAAAAGCCCACAACTCCAAGGGTGCTTTCTCCCACCAACCTCAAAACCACCCCGCAAGGGCTTCAGCTGCCACCTGCCTATGAACAAACAGATGGGCTCGACTCCCCCCCACCCACACACTCCCAGGAGACTTTCGGCTTTCTCAAGGCGCCTTCGCCAGGAACCTCCCCCAAACCATTCAACCCTAAGGACTCCATTAAAAGGAAGAAATGACCCGCCCCCCGCCCCATCATTTCTGGGGTTGCCTCAGCAGCAGCCTAAATGTCACAGTCTCATGCATATCACATGAAGGCAGCCAAGCTGGGGAAGGCCTTCTCCCCTCACCCTCTAAAACGTTCTCTTCTCAGGAAGTCCTTTCAAGCAGCCAATTAGAAACACCAGCAACTGGTGACAAGCTGATCACCAGCAACATCATTACAAAACAAAACAGAGAGAGGTACGGTCACCACCTTGTCTCTTAGGCTCCAACAAGAAGACCCTATACCTCAAATACCAATCTCATAAACTTTGGGTACTTTTCTTTAATCTGCTAATGAATTTCTCTTACTTTCTGTGTCACGTCCAGGCAAACACTAAAAAGCAAAAACCCGAGCCTCTCTGTGGCCTGGGGACTCTTCCCCCACTCTGCACTGTTCATAACCAACTCCTTGGGAGTTTGAGAAACTAGAACTTCAAGGTCCCAAACAATTATTATCATATGATCATTAGCTGCCATGTACTGAATATGTGCCATGTGTATAATAAACACAACCTCACTTAGTCCTAAAAGTAACCCTGTAAGGTAAGCACTGACAATTCCACTTCACACATGAGGAAGAGACTCTAAGAAACTAGATAACATGTCTGGAGTCAAATACTTAGCAGCCGGGTTTGAGTCTGCTTCATTTTAAAGAACTAGTCTGCTTCCCAAATTAACCATCAAATGCAAAGGAATTCTATTTTCTGCTTAAAAAACAAGTCCCCCTCATGACCACAGTTTATGTCTGACCAGCTCCAAAATGTCCCTCCCAAGCCTGATACGAAAATGTTGAAGCAATTATTGGAGAAATTGAGCAAGAGCTTGCAGGAAGACCAGGGTTCTGCGGGAAAGTGACAGAGCTCCTACTGGCAGGATGCCTGCCCGCCGGCCAAGGCCCCTCACTCACAATAATTCTCTAAGCACTGGCATTAGAAATGAGTGGCCACCTGTCTGGTAACCCTGTAAGCAACCTGTGGCTGCGTTGGGCCTGTGGGCCTGTGAATTACAGGTCAAGAAGAGGTCCAGGCTAGACTCATCTTACTCCTGCCACAGAGGAATGCAAACCCACCTACCCAAGCTCCTGGCCTAGGCTCAAACAGAGGCTAGAGGCCAGGGTCCAGACCTTCTGGGTAAGATAATTGAGACTCTGGCTGTTACTGGAAGTACCAGATATGGACAACCCTGTGTTGACTGGTTATATTTTAGCCCTCCAGCCTCCAGGGTACACAAGCCCTCTGCCCCTGGGGGGAGGTCCAGGCTCACCTAGGTTTTGGGAACCTACAAGGGAAGGGCCCCAGGTCAGAGATTCATACAGGAGGAAATGAACACAACACTGTGACAATTTACTGAGCGCTTATCCTCATTAATTAAACGCTTACTTACATTGCTTCATTTAATCTTCCAAAACAAACCCTAGAAACAGGCACTACTTATCCCCACTTACAGAAGAGAAACCTCAGGTTTGGAGAGACACTAAGTCATTTGCCCAAAGGCTCAGGAGAAAAGTTAACCCACTCTCCGGAGAGTGATTCTTTGAGAAGACACGTGAACTCGGAGATCAGCCTCCTTCCTCACTGGGAGTCTCATCCTCAGCCCCCCAAACGGGAGTGGGTTACTCGAGGTCGCTACCAGAGTTAAAAGGGCAAGACCGCTCCAAGCCCCAAGCAGACCCGAACCGTAAAACTTCCTGAGCTTTGGGCCCGAGCAGGGAAGTGTCCAAGGCCTTGTCTGGCTCTGGGGCTAGAGGGGCCTACGGGCTTCCCCATACGGTCCCGGCCTCCAGCCTCCAACACGACTTCCAGGGACCCACCTCCCGACCTCTCCCCCCGCCAGCCCGGAGCCCCGGGTTGGGCTTAAGGACTGCTTCGATACAGAGAGGCTGGCTGTCGCGGCTGAGGGCACCGGGGGATGTCCGGGGACCCTGTCGGGGAAATCCGGGGGAGTCCCAGACCTCGGACTGGCGCCAACCTCTGACGGTCCTTACCGAGCAGCG